ATCTATCTGGCCCGTTACAACTACTATCTGTTGAGCCACCTATTGATTAGAATAGCCTTATAAAGCCTAGTCAACTGGCTTAGTCAGCCGCTATAAGTTATATTAGTCTTACTAATCAAAGGAGAACTAATCTTATACCTTCTTTACTAAGTTAATAAGAAGATACTATTATAAACATCTCTTAAGCTTAGCTAAAGATGCCAATCAAAAGGGTTAGCTAAACTTATAGAATTATAAATATAAGAGTTAAAGCACTCTCTCTTATTAAGAAGATCAACCTAATCAGTCAATCGGCTTATTTCTTTATACTAGCTAGAGAGTATATACTAAAGATATTTATATAATACTTCTCGTATGTTAAGTCTTAAAGTATGTAAGTAAAGTATAATAGACTAAATACTTTAGTTACTTAAATAAAGCTAGGCTTTATTTCTATCCTTACCTATATACTAAAGCTTTACAACTTAGAAGGGTACTTAATAAGGAATAAGTAGCTTACTTAAGAGATGATTAAGGCTAGACTACTTATAGAATGCTAAGATATCCTTACTTAAGTATGGATTCTGACTACTACTATATAAGAATTAAAGACAAAGCAATTCTCTATAACTAAAGATAATATCCCTTTTATTTAAACTTGCCAATTTCTTATATACCTACTATATTAGTATAATCATTAGTATTTAGATATTTATGATCAGGCTTACTATAATGCCTACTTTTTCGACTCTTTTTTTAGAAGATCTTTAGCTTAATATATATAATAGATGGAAGAATTATTAGAAGACTAGCTAAAAAAGTAAGAGATATTGATTCTAACTTATAAGGCTTTGACAATATAGTTAGTATAGATTACTACTTAAAAAGCCTACTAAAAGTATAGTCTCTTTCTACTTAAAAATATATAGATATTCTTTAAGAAATAATACTTTTACTATATTAAGCTAGCCATTAACTAGACAGACTTAAAAGTCTATAAAAGTCATAAAGATTCTAACCTTTAAGATCTAATATAAAAGCTTTAGATTATTATAATTAGGAAAGAGATTGAAAACAAGATAGCTTTATATATATCTAAAGCTCCTTAAATTAATGATACTTAGAAGGATTAAATCTTTAAAGTTTTAAACTCTATTATCACTATAGAAGGACCTAGAGTCAAGGTAGAATATAGCGACTATATTTCAAAAATGAATATAAAGGTTAACTCTAACAAGTTAAAGAAGATATTTAATCTTTAAAAAGATATCTTTAATTAATTATTGAAAGATAAAGCTAACAATAAGACTAAGGTTTATCAATATAGTTAAAAGACTTTTTTTATAAATATAAAGGACGATTTAATAAAGAAAGAGATAAAAGCTTTAAGTAATAAAGTTAGCTTTATAAATCTAGATGGTAGTAGAGTCCCTTCTTATGATAGCTTAAGTAGAGGAAGTATATTCAAATATTATATTCGAATAAGTAATCAAGCTATATTATTAAGTTGACTCCTTATTTCTTGAAGGTAATCTAGTAATAATCAGCGGAAATAGATTTTTATTAAGCTTTAAGTATTATAGCTAGATGATAAACCATCGATTAAGAAATATCTTACTTATAATCATCATCTTAAACTTAATACCTACTTATCGCTATCATATAAGGTTGGATAGATAGGCTAGGCTAATTATAAAAGGAAATAAGGACTGATTATTAGAAAGACTTATCTTAATCTAGTATAAAAGAAAGAAGAGTAAAATAGAGCCTAAGATTTAAAGGCTTAGTAAAGGTAAGAATCTAAGGCTATAGAAGCTTTTATTTTATTCTTTATACTTTAATCTCCTTAAAGTAGTATTATATAATCTAATCACTCTTAAAATCCTTCTTAGCCTTCTTAAAATTCTGATTAAAGGAAAGAATTGCTTCTTACTAAAGGTAGTCAAATTTAATAAGGGTATGATAAAAAGTATCTAAATAAGCTGATAAGGTTTAGTAAAAGACTTTGCAAACAGTATAGAAAGCTATAAAGTCCACTAATTAAGACTCTATCTAGCTAGATAAGTTAGTAAGCTATCTTAAGCTTTATATATT